AACAAACTCTGAATTGTGACTTATGCTACCTTCAGCTTGTGATTGTTTACCTGTCTCCTCTCCCCATTGCTGAATTAAAAAAAAAAATAAGATACATCTTTATTTATGCTGTTTCTACACATATTGGATCTCTTCAGATGGAGCATTTGAATTCAGAACACACACACTTCACTCTGCTAAAACAACTGACACATTGCTACAGGGAAAGCAGATTCTCCACAGGTCTGTTATTGATCTCCTCTTTAAATAACTCCTCACTCTGCTCAGATCTGCTCCTTGGCTATGAAGACAAAGAGCCCACAGAAACCTACAGAATCAGGAGCAAGGAAGTGTTGTGCAGACAAGAAATCTTTTACACAGGAACAAAAGAGGTGGGAGATAGGAAAGCATTCTCATGGAAAATTTTTGTCCTATCTGCAATGATTTTAAACCATGAATTAATCATAGGTGAATATTTCTTGTTGGAAACAGGTCACCAAATGATGCTGCAGAGAAGGAATCCCTCCTGCATCATCTCCTTTTAATGATCACCTGGTTTGAGAACAAAATGCTGACATTGGTGAGACTTCCACCTTTAATCCATGATTTCAGGGACATCAGAGAATAAAATTTAGGTCAAAACATCATTATGAATACAAACAGAGACAAACACAGATGAAACGTTGTATTTGTCCCATGGGTCCACAAATCTTCTTGTATTATAAAAATACCCCTCCTGGGGAGCAATAACTAAAAAAACAATTTGAAAGGACAAAGAACTACAGGCTGGGGACTGTGGCTGGACAGTGTTCAGGCAGAAAGGGACCTGGGTGGTTGAACATGAGCCAGCAGTGTGAATATGAGCCAGCAATGTGCCTTGGTGGCCAGGAAGGCCAAGGCCAATGGCTCCTGGAAGCCAATGGCTCCTGGCCTGCATTAGGAATGGTGTGGCCAGCAGGAGCAGGGAGCTCACTCTGCCCCTGTGCTCGGTGCTGGTGAGGCCACACCTCAAGTGCTGTGTCCAGTTCTGACCACTCAGTTTGGGAAGGACATTGAGATGCTTGAGTGTGTCCCATGTAGACTTTCAAAACTTCAAACTTTCAAAAGCTTTTTGAAGGTCTACACTGTCAAGCCATACCAGTAAACAGAAACAACTGTGTCTTGTGACTGCTGAAGCCAGGAACAACTTGTTCCAGATCCTGGGGAAATTCCCTGTGGGTTGCAGGATGAGAAGGAGGGCAACAAGGCTGGTGAGGGGCTTGGAACACAAGCCCTGTGAGGAATGTTTGAGGGAGCTGGGGCTGTTTAGCCTGGAGAAAAGGAGGCTTAGAGGTGACCTCATTGCTCTCTACAGCTTCCTGAAGGGAGCCTGTAGACAGGTGGGGGTTGGTCTCTGATACAACAAGAGGACGCAGTCTCAAGCTACATCAGGGAAGGGATAGGTTGGATATTAGGAAAAAAAAATTTACCAAAAGAAAAACAAAGTACTGGAATGCTCTTCCCAGAGAAGTGGTAGAATCACCATCTCTGGATGTGTTTAAAAAAAGACAGAATCACACAGAATCACAGAAATTCTACGTTGGAAGAGACCTTTAAGATCATCGAGTCCAACCCATGTTCTAACACCTCAACTAGATCATGGCACCAAGTGCCACATCCAGTCTTTTTTTAAACTCTTCGATGGATGGTGACTCTACCACCTCCCTGGGTAGATGATTCCAGTATTTGACCACACTTTCTGTAAAATACTTCCTCCTTAATTCTAGCCTGTATCTCCCTTGGCACAGCTTGAGACTGTGTCCTCTCGTTCTGTCACTGTGTCCTCTTGTTCTGTCTGTTGTTGCCCGGAGAAAGAGACCGACCCCCAGCTCACCACAGCCACCCTTCAGGAAGTTGAAGAGAGTGATAAGGTCACCTCTGAGTCTCCTTTTCTCCAGGCTGAACAACCCCAGCTCCCTCAGTCGTTCCTCATACAGCTTGTGCTCCAAGCCCCTCACCAGCCTCGTTGCTCTCCTTTGGACATGCTCAAGACTGGCCATGGCACTTGGTGCTGTAGTCTGGTTGAGGTGTTAGGGCAGAGGTTGGACTCNGACTGGGAACAGCCTGCCGTAGAAAATTTAGAGCTCCCTGTAATAAATGGAATAGCTTGCTTTTGCGAGAAATTTCGAGTAACCTTTGGCGCATCAAGAAGCTGGCACGCTGCGTGAGTATTATTACAGTGCGTAGTTTGTGGGAAACGCTGGTATTGTTGTTCTAGCAGGCGACGGGGCACGTGCCCCAGGTGTAAACGAGAGGTTCCTGATCAAGCTGATTCAGAGCCTAAGATCTTAAAACTTGTGTGTGGGAAATCACATCTGGTACCTGCCACTTGGGGTGTGTGGGAGGAGGACTGGGAAGCTACTGTGAAGTCCTGTGAAAAGAAGTTTGAGTGGAAGCGAGACAGAGCAAGAAGGAGATAATGGGAACTAACCAGAGTAAGGAAGTTCCGCAGGCCAGCCCCTTAGGGTGCATCTTGGCCCACTGGAAGGAAATCACTAGCCGGGGGAGCTCTGAGAATAAAAAAGATCTAATCCAGTATTGCACACGCTGGTGGCCCTTATATAGGCTAGAAGACGGGGCAAGGTAGCCACCCACTAGAACCCTAGACTATAATACTTTACTGCAGTTGATGTTGTTTCTAAGACGGGAGGGTAAATAGAATGAAGTCTCGTATGCTGATATGTTTTTTGTTTTAAGAAACCACCAAGAGTGGCAGAGGGACTGTGGGATTAAGGCACCCTCAGACCCACTGGTCTTGGCCCTTGAAAGGGATAACAAGGCAAAGAGAGGGCAAATCAAACGCTGCTGTTCAGCATGCAGTATAAGACAACAGTGTATGAGATCAGATAAAGTCTATTGTTCTGAAGAGCAAGAACGAGACACATTTGAGTGAGTGAAACATCCTCCAGCTCCTCCCCGAAAGGAGATAGTTAGAGAAGTCGAAGCTGATGCTAAGGATGAGGAAGAAAGAAGCCTCCCCAAAAGGGAGGAAGAAGACTCAGGTAGAGAAGGCACATCTACTAGATCCCACCCCATCCGTGAGAGTCCAATTGCATCTAGGACTAGGAGGCAAGTAGTGCTACAGGCCCCTCTGCGACAGGCAGTGAGGCCAGAAGAGAGTAGATTAATGATTAAAGTGCCATTTACCACCCTTGATTTAGAAGCATGAGAAAGGGTTGCGAAGAATTACCGTGTTGACCCGATACTCACTGCCAAACGCCTAANGTGTCATTCACAGCAAACACTGCAATGGCACCACAACAATGGGGAGGTTTTGGCCATCAAGGAAATCAAAAGTTCTGCCTGCACTTCTATGCCTAAAGTAAAGAGCCACAGCTTTTGAACAGCACCTTCTGCTGTTTTAAATTTTATTTTTCTGCTATTTTAAATTTTGGTTTTCACTTCAGACTTTTAAGCCCACAAAATGACCAGTGCTCAGAACTGACAGGGTATGAATTCCTTGAAAACCACCACCGCTTAAAAATAAACATCTATCTCTAAACAAAGTCGTGTTCTTCATCCTTGACCACCAAATAAAGCACCAGAACTACAGGAATATTCCTATTTCCCCCTATAAATACAGGTATTAGCCAAATATGAACATCTCTCACAGTTTAAAGTATTTTTCCTTTGCTTTGAACAAAGGCATCACCCCCATCCTCTCCCCTCTGTTGTATTCCTGCCAAGGCTGTGATCTGGAAGAACTGTCAAAGGAATATCTGGAATAATTGCAACATTGACACATCCACTCTACTGAGGGGCAAATCTGGGACCATCAAGATGATTCACAACTCAAACTTTGCAGGAAATACAGTTCTGTTCCCTGATTCTAACACAGTACAACAAGTGTGCCCCAAGACAAGCCTGCAAAGCCTCCTCTCCTGGGATGGATTCTGCTTTATCCCCCTCAAACCTGGACAACAGGACATGGGAACAGAACAGCTTGCAGTGACTGCCTTGCAAACTGATGGGTTATTGATTCCTGGTAAATGCAGCTGATGCAGCTTTGGATTCTTTGTTTTCAGCTACTGATGAATGTTGAAGTTGTTTCCCACTCTGGCTATGTGGAAAGATCACCTCTTATCATTCCTACTTTATTCCAGCTTTATCTTTCCTACATTATTGAACAAATATGCACAGAAGAGCTCCCTGAAACAACGTTCTGGCAGTCAGGAATCCTGGCTTCAACATGTCAGCAGAAAATTAAACTGTTAGTTACAACAATCCTGAGCTGCATTATCTCAGAAAAAGAAGATTTCTTGTATTTCTCTTAGGCCACGTCCATACCTCTGAGTGCTCATCTCTTTCATCTATCAGCCTTTTCAAATGCAATGCCATATTTTTCAGGAGAGGCTCAACGTACTCTTGTGTCAGCACAATGACATCCATCCACTGCAGGTCAAACACGTTTTCCTGATTATGAGTTACCTACATGGAGCAAAATGAAACAGAAAAAAAATCCTCTTGGAATTTTAACAGTAGAAAGGAAGCATAGAGAAAATAAAGCTGCAACTCTACAGGTTAAGTTTTCTGGATAAGGTATGAGAAAACATTTAAAATATATTTAATTGTATGTAAAGAAGAGTTTTCTGTCCATTTGGAAGCAGCACCTTGTCCTTCTGGTGACAATAACATTATAAATTACCTACCACATACATTTGATTGGAATTATATTTTATAAAGAAATTTGCATATAAAGATTTCACTAAACTAAATTTGCTGTATGTAACTAAGAAATCCTTGAAGGAACAAATTTGCTTTCTGGTACTGCTCTAAAAATAAAACCCAAAAATGCTCAATCATTAAATCTTTTTGTGAATCAAGTGAAAAAATAAAGCCTTTTTTGCTTACTACAACCACTCAATATGCAAATCACATATGTGATTTACTTGCCATTGAACACGTGCAACTCCCCCTCCTGCAATACAATATTCCATCTCAAAAAAATCCCCAAAATTAAAAGCAAAACCCCCTCAAAATACCTCCTGAATATGGGCTGCAACAGCTGCTCTGGTATCAAAATCCAGACTTTGGATTCTTTCAATAAATTCTTCTTTTTTCTGACACTAAAAATAGAGACATTATATTTATATGTATAATTGCAAGTATTTTCATTCCTCTTTTGCATTTCTTAAGAGCTAAAACTTCTAAAGCTGACATTGCAATGGCCACATGACTAAATTATTATCCAGTAATTCTGGTGACCAGTAAATGCGTGGTTCATGCCATGTTACAGTAATTATAACTTACAACATTAATTAAATGATACAAGGAAAATCAAATTGAAATGGTACAAGAAAGAGGTTTCTTAGAATTGCTACTTATTCAAAGTTCATTAAAAACATGAAAAAAGTGCAGTGAGTTAATTTTCAGCACTTTACCATTTCCACCCTTTCTTTACAGTATCAGGTAATTAACACTACTGAAATTAATAACCCATTAGGGTGGTATTGGAGGTATTTATGCAATAACAGGTGTAGGGTTGTAGCCATTTAATTAAAAGTCAGAATATTCCAATTTTTCAAGGAATACAGTTGTACAACAAAGGAAAAAAAAGTTTTATACCACCACAAGTATTAGAGATCAGTAATTCTGAAGTCTCACAGAGACAAACACAATTAAACTCACCTGAACTGCACAACCAAGCAAAAGCAGGAGGAGCTTTTTTACTTCTTCAGTACCTGGCTCTGAGAAGAAAGCAAGGAAAAATGGAAACTGAGAATTGTAATTAGAGCTTATTCCCCTATCCCTCAGAAAACAGATTTTCTTGTTGTTTCCATATCATTTTTGTTAACCTAGTTTAGAAAAGAACCAGAGGAGCTCTCAGCTCAATCCTTTTTGCCATTTCACTTCCAGAGTATCCAAACACCTTAACAGCCACAACAATTTCAACTGGGAAAAAAACCTGAGCCCTTCAAAAAGCAAAACTTCAGAGTGACATTTTTAGAAGTGCTTTGAAGACCTGCAATCAAGTTTTCAATGGTAATCTCAGGTCTCTCAAGATGGGTACAAAAGTGCTTAAATTATCTGTCACTCCCAAATTGGAAGAGTTGAGGTGACAAGTTCATTTCAATTCCTTACAAAGCTGTATTAGATATTCATCTGCACATCCAAAAAATCAAAATATATTTCCAAATCTGGCCTTAAGCATCTTAATCTCCTAAAGAAGCTTAAGTTAAAGAACTCTGTTTGCAGATTAATAAAAATGTTTCTTACTTTTTTACGTTGACAATGTCCTCATCTTGCTACTAAATATAGAAATATATTCTAAATCTAGAACACAAATGCCATGAAGCAAATGCTTCAAGGATGACAAAACAGTTTAGGCATTGACTCAAGCTGCTGCTTTTGGAGGGAGCTACATTATATGTATGTATATGTATAATTAATTCCAATTTTTCAAGAGGTTTCTCAGGTAGACAAATACATTACAAAAAACATAGATTCAAATGGGAGATTTTCAATAATTTATTCAGACTTCTTGTATCCCAAAGGCTCAAGCTGTGAAGTCTTTCAAGGAGAAATAGAAAAACCATCAAGGAATGTGTTTCAGCTGAAGAAGAGGAATTCCACCTGGCTTTCTGTCTTATCAATAAAGGTTAACAGGAACACTGCAACAGGAGAATCCAACAGCTCACAGCCTGCATTCACTCACCCCAATAAATTAATCACATTTCCTTAATTTTTAAGCAATCCCTAAGCTCCTCTTCACTCTTCATCTCCTGACTGCCTTTCAAACACCTGCCTGAATATTGATTCCTTGTCTCTCCCCCACGTTCCCTGAAGGAACAGAGCAAAACACTGAACCATCTCAGCTCTCCTCATCTTCTGTTCTTCTTTTTCCTCCATCAGAAACACAGAAATAGCTGATTTTGTTTTACACCCTTCAACTTGCTGCTGAACTTTGTCCCTGCCCTGTGTCACTGTTTGATCTTCCCTGTGCTCATCCTATTCCTGACTTTCCATCCTGCCTGCCCTGCTCCCTCAGGAACAGGAACTTTCATCTTTCCCCTTCCCCTGTGCCCCATCATTATCCCTCTGTGATTTAATTTCACATTTACAGTCACAGGCTGTAGCTCTCCTCCAGTTCTCTCCTCCAACTGCCTTCCTGCCAATCAGCTCAGGAAATATTTCCTGATTTCATTTTTTTATTTTTATGCTGACCTGTTTTACCCAACCTCACCTCCAGCCTTCTCCCTGCATTCTCCTCCATGAGCCAAGTGCCTCTGGTAGCTGCTCCTGCCACCTGCAATTTGGCATCTTCTGGGATTTCTCTACTAATCATTCCCTGAATGCAAAGGGGAAAAACTGGGAAACATCCCTGTGAAAAAATGACACCTCCAGCCTCAGCTTCAGTGGACCAAATCCAAGTTTTTATCAGGGAATTGACTTTTACTCTGAGGCCTGCCTTGATGCAAGCAGATTTGCACAGCAAGTGTCTCCAAAGATCCCTGAGGGTTCATTTCCCTGCATCTGCCCAAAAAAAGCTTTAAAAATCCAATGTAGGGATGAGATCCTCTTCCAAGTGACACAGCAAGAGCAGCCCTCACTTTCAAAGGGGAAAGGTTCTGGACAGAACCCAGAAGAACAGGTCAATATTCTAGTTCAGAACAAACTCTGTGGTTGAACTCCAGCAGGAAACTGAAACACCTTCAAGAATGTTGTCCAAGCACAACCATTTTATGGAAATGTGAGTGCTACACAACAGAAAAGTCCAAACTTTCTCACAAACCCAACAAAATCCCCACAGAAGAGCAAAGCACACACCAGCAGAGCTGCCAAACCACAGATCCCAAAACACAAAGACAACTCTTTAAAAATGACCAAACCATAAAATTGGATGTATACAACTGAATGTAGTATTACCTCTGTGGGGTTTGATAGTGCATTTTCAGTGAAATGTCATCTTATACTATACAATATTGTTAAAACATTTTCTCTCAGTATCTTGAGCAGAATAAAAAATGTCACTACAAAACAATACTACGAGCTGGGGTTTTTTTTAAATCTGTTTTTCCAGTAAATCTGCTTTCTAGGCAAATCCATGGAGTCTTTTGAAAACCTTAAGAGAGTCTGGAATCAAAATCAAAAAAGCACGATGCATTCTGTTCTTTTGGAAAGGAGGAGACCACACTCACACTTCTTGGTGCATATGACAGCAGCTGCACGTACAAAAACTGAAAAAGCTGTGACCTCGGAAGCAAAAGCAGCAATGCTCAGAAGCAGAAAGTAAAACCCACAGGAATTAAAGCAAGATACCTCCAGAGATGGGATAGTGCAGATGGGAAATGGAAAATACCAATGTTATGAGCCCTGGCACTGGGAAGTGAGGAAACACAGATGGTTCTTCTGGCTCATGAGGAAGCCCCTGGCCCACAGACACAGCAGCAGAGGAGACATCCCAAAGAAACCAAAGCAGCCAGGGGAAGCCACAGAGCCTGCAAGAGCAGTTCCTGACCTCTCTGCTGAACGCCAGCAGGACAACACCTGGGGCACAGGACACCCAGGGGGATAAACTGTGCCCAGTCCACAGTGGCTCCCTGCAGGCCAGGTGTGTCTGCTCCGTGCTGCTGGAACTGAGAGCAAGGTGCACACATCCCCGAGAGGCTGTGGACAGGCAGCTGGATCCACACTGGCTAATTTTCTTGGTCTGAAAATTGCAACTCTCAGAGCTGGAAGCAGAGAAGGTGGGAGCATGGAGAAGACAGTGTCAGTTCAGGGGAGAAAACAAGAAGGTAATTGCAATATTTTTCAGGTATGGATGCAAGAGAAGCAGGAGAGGTTGGGGGAAGGAGAAACAAGGATCAGGAGCTGGATCCAGTGAGATGCACTGGACTGCCAATTCCCTCAGCAGTGACAGGTAAAGAAAGTTGAAGGTGCAGTAGCTGGGAATACATGAAATTTTAACTTTGTGCCATCAGTGGTTCACTGGCTGCTGGGAAATGCACTGGGCTCAGTATAAATCCTAGTGAAAGCCAGGGCTGAGGCTGTGACAGAACACGTTTTTTAGTGTGGACCCTTTGTGTGGACAAAGAAAATAATTATTAATTCATTACTCATCATTCTTAAACCACTTCTCTGATAAACAATCTTCTGTTGAAAGGCTCAACCCTTCAGGAATTTTATTTCCAGTGAAAGAATATAAATGATCACACCAATATACATTTTTATCTTAGTCAAAAATAAACTTACCAGAAAAAGGATTTTTGCCAATTATTAGCACATTTGGCAAAGACATCATGATCAACTGCTGCAAAGTCTCCTATAAAAGTTAATTAAAACATTATTTACATCACATGTACTGAATGAAAGCAAACATCAAATGCCAACAGCCATTAAAGAGAAATCAGTATTAATTAAACAGTTTTAATATTTTTCAGGACTTCATGCATACAATTCATAAAATACTTATTTACTTTCTAATTAAAAAACAACTAACAAATATGAGTTACTTCCACAGAAGCTTTGTTTTACTGGTTTGCACAATCATCTCACACAGCAAAATCCCCTCGTGGCAATGAGCTGGCTTAGGGATCTTAAGCCAACGAGATCCTGAGTCTCAGAATGCAGCAAAACCCTTTCAATTTATTATGTTCATCTTTTCCTGACTAACCTATTGATACATATTTGTTTTACTGGCTCTAAGGTGCATTTCTACTGCAAAAAAAGATCTATTTCCATTATTTCACGGTTTCTCTGGCCTCACCAAAAGGTGGATGTGAAAATCCCAGGGGTTTTTGCTGCAGTGCCACTGGGCCAGCTGTGACTATAAAGGTACAAACCCTGTGTGCACAATGCCATGGAATTTCAGCTGGAAGTGGCACACACCAGGCAGCAGCTCTGCCTATCTGTGCCATGGATCCCCTCAATGGGGCTCCTGTAATGGCTGTAATCGGCTCAAATCCCCAGTCTAGACAGAGCCTAATTCTCCTGAAGCAGAGGAGTCTTTCTCCTGTTCCCAGATATTTATTCCCAGCAGATGCCATCTTATAGTCAGGCTTTTTGGTTTTCCACAGTGACAGATCCATTGTTATATAAAATGTTCCTACTCAAAAGCAACACATCCCAAAAGAGCTCAGGGCACACATCAGGTGTCACATCATAAGCATCAACCTAACACAGGTCCACTTGCCTTAGGTCAAATTGAAAAAAATCCCCAATATTTCTTATAAAACACCAGTAGAAATTATCAGTTACAGCTATACTTGAAAGTTCCCACCTGTTCATACACAACATCAAAATTATACCTGAATTGATAAATAGTAGACAGCAAAATATACATTTCCTCTGGACATGCCTAAGACAAAATATAAGGAGGGAGAAAACAGCTTTGACCTCCTCCAATATCACAAAACTTAACCATCTGTGACACCTGTATTTCTCAGACTTTGATAAAGACAATTTTCAAATAAAAATAAGACATGAATTGCACCACAGGATGTTTCAAACCAATATAAAACAGATAAAATATAATGAATTTAATGAGTGCCAACAGCTATTATGAAAGAAAATCACAAATTTTTAGAGCAGCTTTTTGTTGTTTGCTTTTGTTGTTTTTTGGGGGTGGTTTTTGGGAGTATCTCAAATAACTCCATGATGCTATCATAAAGCAGAGTATGAGCAGCAGTGCCCTGAACAGACAGGATCACCTGTTTCCTTCCAGCACCTCTGCCTTGCCCCAGAGATGTCTGACACCTTTTCTGTCTCTTGGTGTTAACCTCAGCACTGGCTTTGCTTGCACAAATTTGCACAGCTCACCAGCATTTATTTTACTGAACATTTTCACCTCCTCAGTCCAATCTGCTGACAGTCATGGACACTCACTGGATTAAACCTCTGGAGCCCACCAAAATTTAGAATAATTTATCTTGAGCTAACTGCTGAGAACAGTTCCGTGCTCCTACACTGCCAAGAAATGTACACACACCAATTACTGCTTCAGGACCAGACTGTAATTCCAGAGAATAACAAACATGATACAGGAACAAAAAAAAAAAAAAAAAAAAAAGTGACTAATCTAACATAACACCTTAATTCTGAATGTTACATCCTACCAGTGCAGGTTTTTGACAGGTACATCCACAGCACCGATGTGATTTTACACTGAACTGAGAGAAGGTTTTCCACAGATCTTACAAAACCAGCATGGACAAGCTCACAAGGAGAAGTGTTAAAGAGTTGGGTTAACACAGTGCTAAAAATCCCAAATTCCCACAGTTGTCAGTGTCTGATGGCAACCCTGGGGAAACCCTGTGTCAGTGCAGTGAATGTGTCCTGTCCCCTCCCTGGGCTCCAGAGCAGCCCCAGAGCAGCCCCAGGCAGGGTTTCTGCACTCCCAGCTCTCAGGAGCACTGGGCTGTGAGGCTCCTGCCTCCCCCAGCCTAAGGGAGGCCTCTCACTTTGATTCCAGGGCATCCATCAGCCCCAGCTTTCCTGCCTTGGGGAATTGCACAGGTGGCAGGAACTCAAGTGACCCCTTGTGAAACAGCCCATCCTTTAACACTTGAACTACCACAGAGCACCAACCTCCCTGCAGCCACTGCAGGGACTGAGTATCTGCACATGCAAAAAGCAATTCTGGATTGCAAGGAGCTCTCCAGCCTTCACTCCTGCTAAAAACACCAGCACATGTTTGCATGGTGACCAGAACCCTGAAACACTGGGGAGAAAAGTGTATAAAACACTCTAAAAAAGGCAGTTCAATATAATTTGGACCACTAAAGGCATGGTGACTGGTTTAACTGCTTCATAAATTTTTTTTTTTTTTTTAAAGAAGCTCTAATAAACTTGACAAAGGTTTGGAGCAACATCTGCAATCCTGAACCATCCAAGGTACCTAAATGCCAGCAATTCTGCCTGGTCCTGCAGCACCTGGACTGGTGATACCATGAGGCCAGTGCAGGATGGGGAATGCTTTGTGCTCCCAAAAAGATCAATCCTGTCAGTGTTTGTGCCTCCTGCTGCACCAGCTGTGGAACAATAATGTCTGGTGGGAAATTACTTCCTTTAGGAAAAGGAAAAGCACATGGACCTTAGCAGGCAGCACATAAATCCATGTGCAGGAGAAAAGGGTGGGAAG